GTACGGAGGTCGGGATTTTAGTTCGGCTTTCTCACCGCGAGATGGCGATACCTATTCACGTCCCATAAACGCGCGTATATTTGAAAATCAAACAAAAATTCGGTTATAAACTGCATTTTAGTTGTTAGTTCTATTAAAAATCGACTGAAACAATTCTTGTATTGCATAACTATGTCTCTGGTACCATATTTTAGACGCTAATTACCGTTAAAACGATGAAAACGTTACTCGTTCCGTGTACTCGGAGTCAAATGCCTTGATCGATTTGAATTTCCTCTTTATTCGTTACATTTCTTTATATATTAGTACATGTGACATTAAGGACGCAGTAATATATTAACTGGACATTAATTCTTGTCGAGCTGCTGCCCATTACAAGAACGGAGACATCGATACTGAATATTTACAAAAATACAAAAGCTTACAAAACATCGACTACTATACAACGAACTCTTTCTAGAATCGTTTCGCCTCCACTCGTCGTCTAAACACCGAGAACTAACACGAATTTCCGTCAACGACTTGGCAAATGTCAACGAGCCACTAAATAATCTAACCGATGCTGCGATCATCGTTTTCTAAAGATATAAAATCAGACTTGTAGGTTTCGCTGGGTAGAAATCGAGTTCCACCTCTAGGCCTATCTATTATATCTCGTCGATTCTCGTCGAAAAAGATTTTTCTCTCAAAAAACATGTTTCAATAAGGAAATTCGTCGGTAGACGAAAGTCAGATCCAAAGCCAGATCTAATCGAGGTCCAATGTTGATATTAACCGAGGCTTCCTTTTCCCATGAGAGCCTCAAATATCTTATTCAGATCTATTGTTCTTAGATTCGCGTTTCTTCTTGGAAATTTTCCTTGGTCCGATTGTTGGCGAAGTTCTTTCGTCGGGGTTTTGCAAAATGCTGCCACCGAACGCTGGCAACGTTAACGAAAATGTAATGACTATATATACAAGAAATTATCGCGTGAAACTCTTGCCTGACTCATAACACAGTCGCTTTCAACAATGTACAAATTTGTGTTCGCTCAACATTTTGCGTCTAAGTGGTAATTCTGTCGCGATGTATATTAATTGACGTGTACAGTGAAAGCAAGAAAATTGCATGAAAAAAGCATCGAAATTGCGTGCACGAAATGTACTCGTAGTTTTCTTCTTTAAGTGACGTTCTGTTCGTGGAAAAAGTTCATTGCACACACAGAGAACGAGATTCAACCATAAATATTGTAGATTCTTCAAATGTTTCACTATCAAAGCTAATTCAGTGTCCAATAGGACTTACCAGACGAATAGTGAGCGAAGAAGGAGGAAGACAGTTTCAAGGAAACTTAATCAAAATAATTCTACTTAATCGATGAAGAAACGTAAGTATAACGTAGATTCATCTCCGTATGTACACGCTTTCTACCTCTCGTACTTCGTCTATCAATACTCGGCTCTTCCCAAAGGATTCAATATTTTCGAACGTCGTTGTCTCCACTTTATTTATCACACATCTTTTCTTCGGTAGATTCTCTTCGTTTAACATAATTTAATTTGTTTAGTAGCTCTTTAACTTGTTCAACGATCGATCCCTCGGAACGACAGTCGCGTAACAAGCACAGGAAAGATTCGTCGCATCGTCGAGGCATCGAAATCACGAGGCCGTAATCCAGCTGGAGATTTTAATGCCGTTCCCTGGAGTCTTCTCTGTGCGCGCTGTGTCTACGCGATTCCTGACCGCTTGGCGTCACTGGTCGACGCTTTGATCGTTTAAATTTTGCGATGTCTTCTCCAAAAACATCCCCAGTTCTGAGAGCAGAGATCAGATCGTCGAATTCACCCTTGTTGTCGTTCTGTCCGTTGCTGTTCGCCTCGTTCTTCTTGCTCAATGATATGCTGTTCAATATTCCTTCGCGAGAATTCTTCCTCTCCATCGTCCTCTTTCGAAGCTGCAATAAAATATTGAAGATACATGACGATTTAAACAATCGTTTCGTGGAAAATTTGCACTAACCTCTTGTTCCTGTTTCGCTCTACGCTCGTCTTCCTCGATCTTCTTCCTCATGTTCTCCACGTCTTGTCTGGCCTCTGCCAGAGCCTGCAAGAAGTTCTCGAAGATCCCGAAGAACTCGTCTGGCTGAACTCCAGCTGAATCTTCACCAAACAGTCTTACCGCTCGATCGAACTGTTTATAAAACAAATGTTTCATTGGGTATGTTAAAATCACTAGCAGTATAACAAAAACATACTCTAGTTTTCATGTCTTGGAACAGGTCTTCCGCTTCGGCCAGTCTGCACGTGGCCTGGGCCTGGAAGTCCCTCATCGCAGGCAAGAACATGTCGCCTTGCAATACCTGGGCCTGGCCACGATGGAATTCTAAAGAAGTATAGAAAGTGAATGAAAAATGATTGATCATAGTCTTCTAGAACTATACAACATATACTTTAATTTCTTTAAACTTTGAAGACCTCACAACCTACCTATTTCCCTCTGAACGTCCTGAAGACCGTTTTTCAGATTGGCCACCTCCTTCTGCAGATCGGCCATGCTGACCCTAGCCGCTGTTCGAACGTGGGGCATGTCCTCCTCGATGTCCAACACCTCCCTGAACCTGGACTCCAGAATCTGGACCAGATAATGCAGTAGAGTGGTGCCTTTGGAGCAAGAGGACTTCGTATCGACTAGACGGTTCAAGGAGGCCAGCCTGAAGCCGCAGGCGTTGCCTCGCGCGTTTCCACGGTTCACGTAATTCCCTAGAGCCAAGACCAACTCCAGAAGCTTCCTGAGACGACGTGATCTGGCTACCTGTCGACTAGCTTCGAGAACCGCGCGCATTCTTGGCGTCAATTCCGCGATGCTGGCGGAGAACTTCTTCTTGTAATGGAGAGATCTCAGCCTTTGCTCGTAGTGCGGTACTCTGGAACATTTCATTCATTTTTTGATTCGAAAACTAAAGACACTGGTGCGATAGAGTATACATGGATATCAGCTGTCGAATTTCTGACACTGATAATGTTTTCGATAATAAAAACACACTCCACGGGAACATAGCACGTTACAAAAAGTACCTACTTGGAAATTTGGTATAGGAAGCAGTCAGCCCTGCTCTGAAGATCCTTCTGGTGCATGTCCAACAGAGCTGCCTCCTCCGACGAGGGAATGTACTTCAGCAGCTGCTCGACCATGTCTATATGCAGAATATTCTGCTGATCCATGGACAGAATCGTTCTCGTGATCTCGTTGTCGGACAACTTCAGCTTCGACAACAGTATCGTGCAATTCTGAGCTCTCCTCGAGTCGATCACCGACATGGTCCTCTTGTTCTTCCCCAGAGTCCTCAGGTCCTCGATGGAACCCTCCGTGGACACACCGTTCTTCTGATAAGCGCAGAATATCTTATCGATGGACTCGAGGTCCATGACGTTATACAGCTTCGTGTCGTCGAGCTCCGACCATATCGTGCCTTGCAGCTTCTGCTCGGGGATCTTCGACCAGTTGAAGGATTTTAGGGGGTTGCTTGGCTGAGGAACGTTCTTGATGATCTCCACCTATCAGAATTTTATTTTTCAGTCGAGTTTGAGACACAATCGAAGACTTATACAACTAAAGTATACGTAAAGTCTTACTGCTAGTCAAATGAAAATGCTATTTTTATAGAATAATACAACATGCAACGAAAGTCGATGGACGATCGCACCTTCATGGGAGGAGGTGCCGCTGGCATTAGACAAGGGGGCGGTGGAGGTGCCAGAGGCGGCGGTGGTGGCGGTGGTGGCATCGGTTTCGCCTCGACTTTTTCAAGGACTTCGTCCTCGACAATTTTGATCGTCGCTTTCGCGTCGTCGGGCAGGCTTCCCGAAGCCACCAATTGCTCCAGCCGTTTTCTCTCGGACTTCTCGTTGTTTATCTGTCGCGACAGGGTCTCCAGGTTGTCCTGCAGCTCCGAGATCCTCTGCTTGGTCTCAATGTGCATCGACGTCTCCTTCTCGAGGCGTTCCTTAACCCTCGCCAGGCTGGCCTCCATGTCTTCCTAAAAGTGCATTGAACAAATGTACCCAATCGTCGTGAAAAAGTACGTAGTTTATCTCTGTTCAAAGGTAGAGCAACGCGCGATAGACGAATAAACGAGTCTGAATTTGTCTCGAGGTTTCGAATTACTTTCTCTTGCGTCCTCAGATCCAACTCTTGTTCCTTCTTGGCCAATCTGGTCGACATGTCGGAGTTCTCCCGCTCCAACTCCTCAGCCTTCTTCCGGGCAGCGACGAGT